TGTTGTTGTTATTATTATTGTTATTATTATTATTATTATTATTATTATTATTATTATTATTATTATTATTATTATTATTATTATTATTATTATTACAACATCTCAGCTTCAGAAAAAGAATTTAGCCACTGCTGGCCAAACTAATGCTCACCACTAACATATGCACAGAACCAATATACTGAATTTTGAATTGGCTTTTGCTATTAAACATTGTTCTAAATGGTTTTTACAAAAATTATTTCTTTCCCTTGTTTTCCCAAGCAGTCAGGTCCAACAAAAGCAAATTGAACTGCCTGAAGTTAAAAAAAAAAAAAAGCAGCAGTAGCCAGTCTAAGTAAAACGTGAGTGCAAATTTTAAGGCACTATTTAATAGCTTGTCAAGACTCTTCCAAATTATGTTTTTCAAACATTTTCCATGAAGGAACACCAAGCACTTCAACTCTCCTGTGAAGACAGCTCTTGCTGACATTTCACTGATGGAAATAGGAAGATGTGGACTAACCTGTAGATGGCTTCAATGACAAGAAGAACCAGCAATTCTGTACTTGGACTACAAGGCTATGGTTTATCATTTATTAAAGTGTGTGTTTGGGGGGTAGGCAGGTCAAGAAACAAGATTATAGAAAAGCATCAATGAAAGCCTCAATGCCAGAAAACATGCCCATGCAACACAAGCTTTTCAGCAAATCTAAGCTCACTGGGGCCCTGAGCACTTTTTGCACAATAAAATGACTTATTTCCCTACCTACACAGAAAATATGAGATGTACTTAAGCCCACAGAGCCAGTTCCTGCAATAAGCAACTCATGCTTTAATAAGAGTCATTCCTTTCAACACAATCAACCCTATTGATTGAACTCAAGTGGCACTGAACTTTCTGCCAGCACAAAAGATAGCGGGAAGAACGTTTACCTTTCATGGCTTCTTTGCGTTGTAGTTTATAGGTTTCCTTGCCACGGCAGAGGCGGTAAATAAAGAATCCCAGCTGATCCACATTTTCAATGCGATCAGTAACAATCATCTGCTCATGAATCAAATAGGACTGAGGCAAATATGTTCCAGCCTGTTGAACAGAAATATAACAGCTGTGTCAAAAGCCATCTCGTCACGGTCTAAATTCACAAAAACCACTTTGCAATGTGTTTCTTTAACACAGCTGTCACACGCCTCCTTTGGATTCTTTCAAAATATGTTTTACCCACATAATTTTATTCTAAATCTGCAAACATGACCCTGCTGCACTACAGAACTATGCAACAATTATATTTAAAATGTCACAAAACTTCCACTTATGTATACATCCACTGCCTTCCTGCTATGGTAACACCAGACTTAGCAGAGAGATATGTTTCCTTCCAGGAATACCCACTAGCATGGATCAGTCCTGTGCTTATCAGCCATAGTTTTCACTTAATTAACAACAGTCCAACAGGCAACTACTCCTGAACAGGACTTGGGAGAAGCATGCTCTACATGGAGATACTCCTTCTGATGAAACATGCCAGCTGCAGTATACTCCAGCTGCAGTCCAGGGGGTTTGGGAAGTCTCAAACATATTCACAGCAAGGGTCACAATTCTCAAGCCAAATACAAGATCAGATCATCTAGCACGTAAGTTATTATGGTGACCCCCACAGTTGTTTATATGGAAAGGTATTAGACAGCCATGGTGGTCTATCAGCTGTTTTAAGGCAACAAACTGAAAAGGGAAGAGCCACGATGACAAGAAAAGGCTTCCCGAGCCTTTTTTTGTCCCTTTAGTATTATTTTGCCACAGCTGAAATGCTGGAGAAATCCAGCTCTGTGCACATCTGACTGTACACAGATAGAGATGCACATACTTTGCTATCAATTTCCTAATATTGCCACCAGTAAATAATCATCCACTTTTTTGAAATATTACCCCATCTAAGAAATCCTCCTAGTGTGATCCTAATTTATGGCAGTAGAGAGGGTGTTGCTTGCTTTCTAAAAATTAAGTTACCACTTACAGAAACAAATTCAGGTTCTGTGGTGAAAGATCCCTATATGTTTTAATTAACAATAAACAACTTGAAGTTTCCATTGCAAAACTGGACTGTCTTTTCAATCCAAGTGACATGCTGAGAAGAAGCTGACTAAATGCAATTTTTTTCAGTAAAGAAAGGACAGACTATATAAAATTCACTTTAAATCATAACAATTTCCTTCAGCCTATGTGGAAAACAACAGCCCCAAACTGCAGGATCTCCCAGGACCACCCCAGCAACTCCCTGGACCTGGCATTTTTGGCTTTCCCAGGGGGCACATGAGGAGGGGGAGTTCAGTGTGGGAAGCTCTTCTGCCCACCTGCTGCAGGAGCAACTACCAAGCAGTAGGATCCACCATAACTGCAAATATGCTCATCTTTGAGATATCCTTTGAGATATACTGTTAAAATTGGCCAGTTGGCTCAACTACAGGAATGAGGTGGATGAACGCACGTGGGTTGTTGTTTTTTTTAAAAAAAGAGAATAGCCTAGAGCACCTCTATGTTCAAAAAATGCCCTCTGCATGGGTTAAGAGCTCATTTTAATGAAATGAGTACCTTCATTTCAGACATATTTTTTTTCCTTGTGCAACCAGCATGACTGCAGGACAGTGAAATTTACTCACTTTGTGTATCTGCAGAATCGTTTCCCAAATTTCAGTTAGAAAACATTTAGCCTGATTTTCTGAGACATCAAATGCCCCCAGCTTTTAGTGACTACAATGAGAATTAAACAGATGTCTCGTAAAATTAGGGCACTCACTGTTAGGGATAGTGATCAAAACAGTTTGTTTTTGCACAGATTTTCAATTAAATGCATGATGCCTGGTTATCCTCTTACTTATAAAGCAAGCATATTTGATTTTGTACTAATGACAAACTAGGAAATTAATGGATTTTAATAAGGGAGTTTGTGTGAACTAAAAATGGAAACAAAACAACATATATAAAAAAATATGGGGCCACTGTGTTTTTCAGGCACAACCTCAACCTTATGTAAAAGAAATGACAATAAGGTTAAATAGCCAGACTCAAAATTGGCAGCAGAAAAGCAGCAGAGGACTTACTTGTGAAGCAATTCTTCACATGAAATTTATCTATATACACAAACAACTCAGAAGTGGAGTCCTGGAGTCCTAATTTCAAAGACTAGTTTGAAAGATGCAATCCATAGATCATATTAACAATTCTAAGTCATAAAAGGCCAGTAAAATAAAATGTAGAACACTCTCCCCAGATCTTAGACACAAGTTAGTTTATCAGCTCTCTTCCCCACCTGGAATGTTTTGCTGTTCTGTAAAGAAACCAGAAGGCTGAAAAACAAGGTAAATACTATTTAAAACTGCATTAAAAGCATGCATATGTAAGAGGGTTTATGTATCTAGCTATCTATCTATCTCTCTATCTATCTATCTATCTATCTATCTATCTATACACACACACATAGAGAAAGGTGATTCATATTAAATTCGTGAGAGACCTCATTAAATTATCTACTTTGGCCTCCTCAATTTCACAGGCCATTACGTTTCACCCAGTTACTACTACTAATAGAAGAGCATGTCCCTGTGGTGGAGACAAGTCAGCCAGCACCGCAAGCCCAGTAGTAGCTTTCAGTCATTATACCCTGCTAGGAAGTGATTAGGAGCTCCCAACAACATTAGACTGAAAACTCTTTTCCATTGTTCAGCGATTGTGGTATCTCAGCCCTTTCCACAGTCCTTGTTTTTAAGGATAACAAATCTTGCTCTGAAGGTCTGGTGGTCTCAGAACCAGAAACCTGGCTATACTAAAAACCCTCTTGCTTAAACAAGCTTTGCTAATCATTCAATGCAAATCCTGATTGCTCCTACCAAACCTCAGTGGAAAGAGGAAGATCCACCTTCAGGCTGCTGGAAGCCTTATGAACTCCTATGCAGCACCAGTTCAGCACACCCAGTGCAACATCTAATCACCCTGAACACACACAGCAGATCCAACACACCTCACGTACACCACCCTCAAGCCACTGACTAGTTCAAAGTAGGGGCCAGCCCTAGGGACCTATGCTTTAAACAATGCCCATGTTAAAAGGATTTCCCAGCACATCTCAGCTAAGCAGTCTCAGTCCAGCACATACATGCTGGAAACTTGCCTTCCTCTGAATTAGTAATTCCTTCATGATTGTGGATAATTAAGAAGGTTATAGACTTTCTTCTCTCTTTACAGAATATCTCTAGTGATCAGCTAAACTTCAAATGCATGTGCATTCTGTGAATGCCAGACTTCTGGGGGAAAAAAAACCAACTACTTTTTCTCTGTTTTAAGAATAAACTAGTTATGATTTACCCATACCTTGATGTTGATGAGGAGCTCCAGGAAATTTTTTGGTGGCATAACAACTGAAGTGTTCAGAGGAATCACATAGCACTTATCCAGGCTAAGGTCAAGATAGGCAGTGAGTCTCTGTTGAGGAAATATTTACTTTAATCAAAGTAACAAGAACATCATAAAATTCACATACAGACTTTGTTAAACTGCTATTGCCTCACATTGCTCTTCAAATTATTGTTTTACTCACCAGAAAGCCTGTCCAACCATCTCCAATTTGAAAGTAGGTAAATGCAGAAATAAAAGGCACTCTTGATGAGAGTTTAAATCTATGGCAGGGATTTGTGCAAGGCAGCAGGCTACAGGTAGTTCAAATGCACTACAATAATGAAATGACAAAGGTGTATCTGATCTGTTCAGGAATCAGATACAGTACGTATTTATTCCTAGTTCCTGCATTTTGAAAGAACTGGGCAAAAACCTTGCTCTAATCTCCATGCTTTTATATTTTGTTCTAGCGTAGAGTAAAAAGCTGCTGGTAAGAACAAAATATAGCAGAAAAAAGTACTGTTATGGATAATGTAACAAAAATCCTTTTATTTTCAGAAATACTTTTAAGTTGAAGCGTTAATGATTATTTATAGCTGAATTGCTATTTTTGTAGTACCTGAACTGTAATATTTGCCATTATTTGATAAAAAACAGAGATAGAAAAGCCCAGGGAATTATCCTGATGAATCCTATGGCTCCGGTCTCTAAGCTATGTTCCTGCATCTGCTCCTGCTAAAGAAGCCATTATCTCAGGCTGCTGAAAGCTCTAAGACTGCAGATGTATATAAAATACTGAGTACCAACAGCCCAACAGACAAGCAGGCCAGCAATCACTAGTGCAACTAATTTTATTACATGGGATTAAGTGCTGTACCTATGGCAAATGATCCTAGCTCTCACCTTTAGAGCAAAGCCTTTAACCCACTAAATCAAGAAGTCAATTTATAATATTATATTGTTCCTTTTCACCTCTTGTATACTTTTTTTTTTCCTGGTTTTGTTTCTTTAGAGGCTTTGCTCTAACCCTTAACAGAAGCTTCCTAAATATATTCAGGAATATTTTAAAACGACACAGCTCAAGTGAGCAGTGTTTTCCTCCAAATCTGGTTATGAATATTTGATAGATAGCACTTATTTTGCCTGGAAAAGTTGAAACTCTGAGGTTTGCATAAAAAATAGGATGCTTCCTTATTCTCCTTTTTCATCCTTGCTTAAAAGAAGCTGTTCAGTGAAGTCTTCAAATGTTCACAGAAAATTAGCTTTCTGAAAACCAGCTGGAGAACATTTTCTTTCTATCAGCTAGCTTCCATCAGGCTGATACAGAAAAGATGGGCTGCTAATTGTTTTACAGCTCTGTCATTAATAGCAAGAGCTGCAAGCCTGTTAACTGCCTTACCAAAAATGTATTTACACAATTCCTATCAATCAAAGATGTTTCCACAAAAGGGAAGAAGCAGCTAAAAGGTCCCTTGATCCCCTCAAGGTTCAGTGCCTTAAGGAATCAGAGTAGCCTGTGCACGAGGACAATTTAGCTTCTTATTGGCTTCCTACAGCATCTGGAAAACAAGCTTTCTTCCATGGTTGCTTAGCTGGTCCTTTCCTTGTCTTTCTGCTGCTGCTTTGGAGTTTTCAAGCTATGCTTGTGAGAGCAACCTCTGCAGGTGCCTATACATACCTAGAGATACAAGACATAACCAGCCCCTGCAAGTTGAGGTCAGAGCTATGACAGCCCTTTCTAAACTCCCCTCGACACCACAGCAGTTGGTCAAATTCTGGCTCAGTGCACTTACTACAATAAGAACTATAATCTCTTTACTTCCTCATACTAAGGAAATAAACAGCTCTAAGATTTGTCCCTTTCTAAAAACAGAACCGTATTGGCAAATGGTGGTTTACAAACTATCTCATGATGGTCGTATAATGCTGTACTTTGTATGCCCAGTTAATAATTGCTTGCAGCCTGCTGCTGATCAAAACGTTTCTGCTGCCTCCTCCACCCTCCACTTTCCCCACCACAATAATTAGGGAGAACATTTATCAGGATGACTGCGGGGGAACATTTTTTCAAGTTTTAAATGCTTTTAACTTCTTCAGAAATATATATATCTTACCCGGTGGAAGTCATGGACGATATCAGCAGGATCACTATCAGCAAACTCAGGCACTGGCACACTGATAAACTCAACATCTTCCTCCTCCAGGATCTGAATATTTTGCTCAATTGTGTGGTAGTGAGCACTCTGAGCCTCTGCCCCAGACTCAGGTAAACTTAAGCCATCTTCAATGTACTTTATTCCACAGAAATACACACCACCCTGCTAAAAATAGTAAACAAGCCAAAACCAAAACCATCAGTAGCCTTATTAGAAGCTGAAAACTAAAATTCTCAAAGCACTACAGAGAAGAAAGACTTGTCAGACTAGATGAAATGTTTTCCCTATAATTTGGTTCATACACTACAGTAGGAGTCAACTGCTATCTACTACAGGGCCATGGATAAAAAACCTTGATTGTACTGAACCCAGAGGGAGTCCTTCCCTTGAATTCAAGGAAACAGGATCCCAAAGGCAGGTTCTTAAAATGTAGTCTTCTATTTTGCATCTGTTACCTGTGGCACAATGCATCTTATTTTTAGAAAGACAATTAAATTCCTACTTCTACATGCACCCATATTATTATTATTAAATTATTATTTAACTGCAGTCAATAATTAAAATTTAAGACATTGAAACTAATAACCCAAATCACCTTTAAAAAGCAAGTCTAACTCTGAATTTGGTTCTGCTCACAGCAGGGTGTTAGACCAAATGACTTCACAGGTTTCCTTCCAACCTCAGCTAATCTATGAAGTTCTTTAGTTTTGTAAGGCTTTAGAAGTTTTGAAAGTCAGTTTCTAAAATCGATACAAAATACAAAATGTATAGGCCAGATAGCTTTGTAAATACACAACTTATCCATATCCACATGGTATCAGTTTAAAGTTCAACACTGAAAACATACCCTCAGTGCAATGTTAGTTCAAGTCCTGAATGTTTCCTTCAACCCAGGTCTGTCTCATAAACAAGTAGCACAGGTTTGCATTAAATGGCATTTTCGCTTTCAGCTTGCTGGTAGGGGAAAGAAGGAGCCCTGCAGGCAAGGCTCAGGCAGGCAGGCAGTACTGCAGCAGGCCTTCAGCTGCTCTCAGCTTGCTAAATCCCCCAGGATAGGCTGTGCTGTTTAAGCGTCATTTGCAACACCACTGCTCCCTGTAGATTATGTTCACATAATAGCCAAAGAGGTGATAAACTGCAAGTTCAGCTAGAATTTCTCATGTTTAATCACTGTACCTTCTACTAAAATGGTTTTCTTAAAAAAAAAATCCTGGTAGCAGGAACAAGAACACAGAATTTCTGCCTTATTATTAAGTCCACTAACCAGTGGGCAAGAGGGACTAATGTTTTGCTTACACTCTCCCTTTCTGACCCCTGCAGTTCCTGAAGGAGGGTGGGTGGCTGTGCTGGCACCACTGAAGCAACAGCCAAGCATATCCAACACTGCCCTGTGACAACTCCCATGAAGGAAGACAATGCTTAACTTGAATCTCCCATATTTCAGGTAAATGCTTCAGTTTCCTGGCACCACTGCCTTCACAGGGCTCCTCCTGCCTCAGCGCTGTTCAAAAAACTGAAAATACATTTTGTCAGAGGTCTAATCTTGTCAGCATGGATTAGACCTGACAAGAGCACCTTAAACCACATTGACTGTGCTTCTCCCAAGGCCCCTGCAGGGCCTGTTTTTCTTATCTCTGTGGAGGCTAGGAAGGAGGAGAGTCACTGCACTGCTCTGACAAGCAGTCCCTTTTCTCTGCATTAGCAGTACCACACGCCTCAAGGAAATCTGGGGTCAAACAAGGAGGCTTTCAAAGGGTTAATCTACCTCCAGTATTCAGCAATGCAGAAAGGGAGAGAGCAGGTGAAATCTGGGGCATCCCTGGGGCTCCTAAATCCAAGCCCTATTTAGATATAATCCTTTCTCTGCAAAGTAAGGTTTTCAAAAGTGTTGCTTCCTTTTATTTGCCAGCTTTGCTCCTGCCCTCTTCTGCTGATAGGAAACTTCAGAGCAGGCCATACAGTTTGCCTTTAGAAACGCTGAAGTTTTAGAGAGAGAAAAATGTGAGCAGCAAAACTATTTGGTTTCATCTGTTGCTCCTCTTTCCTCTCCTAAACATAAAGCCTAAGGGAGAAAAATGCAACACTCCCATAATAAAATGTACTTGACTCACCTGGAATGCAAAATATTTGTAGAGATAGGCACCACCCAAGATCACACCAGCCAGCATAAAGGCCAATCCAAAGCACATGCACCAACACCAGGCCCTCCTCTGTCCAACAGGCACAGCATCCTCAGGGTCCTGCAATACATCAGAGAGACCTTCAACACACTGTTCCCAAGACACATAAGACAGCAGATACTTCAGGCCCAGCAACTATCAGAAAAGGCTACACGCATTTTATCACAATTGTTTGGAAACTTATTTTATTTGGTAAAGTTTAAAACAGATTTGTTTGAGATTTACGAGAACTTGAACTAACAGTCACTTTTAATGTCATTGTCACTGACTAAATCAACAGACTTAAGTCTTTAGGAAGAGAAAAATATAATAAAATCTCCTGAGATACCTAATAATGCAGTAGCCACTTTACATACAGCAGGCAGAAAAATACCCATTTTCAGGCAACCTCCGCGCAACAACAGCAGAGTGAAGAAGCCAATTCAGAAAGGTCAGATTCTTTTTTATCTTGTTATATGCAATTCAAGTAAACCTGAAGAACCAACAAAAGATCGAAATTCGAAAGAAGAGCAAAATATGTATTTTCCTATGTTGTTTCAGGAGGAGGAAAGAGACTTTACGACCTCTTTGCTGGCAGAATAACAAGAGTGGGAACAAAAAAAAGATACTTTGTAAGTTGTAGTTAAAGAACTTTTCTGCTCTTTGACAGCATGTGCCATGCCTCACTCTATCTGCCATGCACTTATGCTAAAGGAATGACAGGATGTTTCCCCACTGGGGCACTAGTTTGCATAACCATGCAGTCTCCCCAGGCATCCTAAGCAATAAACTGCTGCTTGCAAAATCTTTCCTCTACCAGTCACATCACAATGCTCATTCCTGCCCCAAGTGTTTGCAAAAGTCACATCCAAAAAGAAAAAAATCCAACCAGAAAACACAAACACACACACAACCCCCCCCCACCAAAACCACAAAACCCAAAAAACAAACCATCTTTGAGTAACCTTCCTCCAAGCTCCGACAATCATGGGAAATTCTCAGAATTCAAATAAATACAAAGCCATTCATTGCCCTTTTGCAACCAAAAAAACAATAGTGTAGCATGATGAACAAGGCAAAATCCATATGGCCAAATAAACAGAAAACAAAAGGAAAAGCAGGAGAGAAGTGCCTGAGAAGGCACTGATAGTTTAGTTTGCTCGTCAGTCAACTATTCTGGGTGGGGTTTTTTTGCCACATTTACTAATTAGGGTTGTTTCCTGCTTGAACAAAGTTGTAGGTCAAGTCCCCTCATATATAGTTCCCCTCATCTGGCCAATGCCATCTAAGCAAGTCTGAGACCAAATGGAAAAGGGACTCTCACAGTAAATGGTGGAGAAAAAGAGGTGCTTCCTGAAAATGACTCAGCCCAGCTTTCCCTGAGAGGGAGAAGTCGTATTTTGGAGGGACTACTTTTCACTGATTATAGGGTGAGATTCCTTGGTTAACAAACTAGGTACCTAATTCATACATAGCTAAAATTAGGTGACATGAAACCCACCTTTACAGTACATTTCAATTATCTTTCATACAGAAGTGGCAATGCAGCTTCTTTGCCAGGCAACAGCTGCCAAAATCTAACTCAGAAATATTTAGAGTCAAACTCTGAAGATATTTCAGAGATTTTGTTTGATGTTACCTTGCAAACTACACCACTGTAAATCAGGTTGGGAAATCTCCGTCTTTGGAGGTTTTCAAGACTCGACTCGACAAATCCATGGCTCATCTTGCTTTAGCAACCATCCTATTTCTAAAGGGAGGCTGGACCAGATAACTTTGAGAGGCCCCTTCGAAGCAACATTTCTGGGATACGTTACAAGGCAAAATGAGAGTGGCTAGAAAATAGTTGACATAGACCAAAAAAAGCAGAATGAAAACACAAGTAACAATGACTTTTATAAAATTTTCCACTACTAATTATTTAAAGAATTCAGTGCAAAGAATTATGAGATTACTAGCTGCCTGATTTTTAACCTAGCTGTTTGCAAAGACTGAGAACAGGACATAATACCCATGGTAATCTAATTAACTTTCAGGTCAGGTTAAGATTCACTGTGGATTTTTCTATAAATCATCTCAATTATAAATCTAAACCAGGTGAAACAACGATTTTTATTTTTATGTTGCCCCGTATCATTAGGTAACTATTTCCCTAGATATTTCAAAGCATAAAGGACACTTGATTGAAACTTTTTTAAATAGGTGTCATTTAAACTGTAATGTCAGAAAAATGGACAGCAAACTGGCTCTGGGAGACAATGCCAAAATATTCTCTAGTGAAGAATATATAAACAGTATCTTTATTTGTTCTCATTGCTGTTTTTATTTCTTCCCCCTCCCTTCATTTTTTTACTCCAAAGCAGAATTCTCTATTAGTGGAATTAATTGCGTCTTCCATTCTTACATCTTTAAGATCAGAAAGAGCTACAAAACACACTTCTGGTAAGTGGTGCAGAAGGCATGCACTGTGTTAACACCCACCTGAAAATGGGGATTAATGTCAAATTAAGTTGGTGCAGGCCATAAATCAGAAAAAAGAAAGTAACTTTTACACTTTTATCATGCTAGGAGGAACTTGAAGAACAAGTTTACCAGTATTCCACCCTAAATAATTTTGCTTTGATATCCGAGATGACAGATGTAAACAATATATTTACTACAACTCTTTAATCCTCTACCAGCAGATAACTTTTATACTTTAAGGCATTCCTAATAGTTGAACACTAACTTTGTAGTTGCCTATTGCATTGATTTGTCCACACCCTACTGAAAACATAACAGTAAACTTAGAGCAAGAGTTCAAACCCAGCTTAACTTCTTGCTTAGGACAATGCACGAAAGTACTGCAACTCAGCACAGAGGAACCACAAGCACTAGGTTAACACTGAAAATATTTAATGCTTTTGAAGGAGGACACAGAATTGCTTTCCTCCTCCAAATATGAAAACAAAGTACACCATCAGGCAGTTAAAAAACATCTTAAATTAAAACATTATAAATAACCTACTGAAGCCAAATTATACTCATGTTAGTAGCTGTCCCGTGGCTAAGCTGTCTTAACTCTTGTAGTGTTGCCGTGACAGCTTAGTTTGGGCTGAGTTGACCAAAAAGAGTAATTCATCCCTCACTATATAAATCTGACCCTCTCTACTGCAAGAGAAGAAAGTGTGATCGATGCTCACCCTCTTCCCAGGTCACTCATGTTCTGAAAGAAAAAACATTAAGTGAAAGAGGATTCCCGCTAAGAGGGATGGTGCTGACTCAGCATCTTTCTCCACCAAGTCAGGACTGCACTTTGATCCCAGGCAGCAGCACCAGCTTCTGGAATCCAGAGCACAACATGAGATTGCTGCCTCACTAATTTTTCTCTAGGTCAGCTTCCCACTTCCAGAGAAAGCAGCCCGTATTTGACATGAACGTTGTCCTCTAAAAATACAGTTCTCTACTTTCATGAGCACCAATAATTAATCACTGCTTTCAAGGTTCTTTTCTTTCCCCTCTTCTGTTTCATCCCTGCCCCGCATGCTTCCAACTCCCTGGTGAATCCTTAACCTTATGATGACGCCACAACTAATCTCTGATGCAAAATGCCTTAGGAGGAACTGGATACAAGCCCAATACTGCCTTGTTTCCCTTGATGAGCTGATTCTTCTAATTGGAAAACATTTGATTAGCCTATTTCCCATGGACAAGACACAAACCAGAAGCACCTCTCCGCCACTTGCACACTGAACTCCACAGTGTTAAAATTAAATGGTTCAGAACTTCTCAACCTGAATAGCTTCAAGCCCTGCAGAACAATTTTCCTGCAGATAGAAAATGAGAAGCATTAAATTATCTATTATTTGAGATTGGTAGGATTCAAATCTGTCTTCTTCTTACAAAGAAGTTACAAGATGACTGCTTTTTTTAGTGAAGATCCCTTCATCCGTGACCACAGCAGCTAATGGAAAGCTGCACTCTATCTTGTTACTGGAAACACTCCACGGAACACTTCGGAGGACAAATGATACCACAAACTATTTACCAAAGCACCTCTCAATTACAGAAGGATCTTCACAAGAACTTTCTTACAACAATTACCATGAACTGTTTTGGAGTGGACTGAAAGAAAAAAATGTGAATAACCCCTTAATCTGGGGACATTAGCAGTTATTAACGGCCATATATTCTCTTGTCCTTTTCAGTTCAGTTTTAATGATACTTTTTAAATAGATGCTGGACTTCAGAAGCACCAAATTCATGTTTGGGGTAACATAATTAAATTGTTCTAAGAAACTTCAATATTGAGCCACAAATGTGTTTCATTAGACTTAATAATCATTTAGATTTTCCCTTTGTGGCTTTTTGTACATAGCAGAATATAATTGCTTTAACATTATGAAAGCTATGCAGTCTAAAAACTTACAAGGCAATTTAAAATGGGTGAGATTATCAGACCTTGTTCCTTTGCAGAAAGTAAAGGCACATCCATTATATGATTAAATAAAAAAGACCAAACAAACAAACAAAAAACACCAAAGCAAACGTTAATATGAATCAATTAGGTAATAATCCATCTAAACCAGATATGATGGGTATTCTCTGGGGAGTCCAGAGTAGTCCAGAGTAGTGTATAACCACTGTGCACCTATGCAAAAGATAATGGCCCAAATTTAAAAATAAATACAATGGTGATAACATTGGGAGGGGGAAATGTCTTTCAGAACCAACACACAGAGAAATCAGATGCAGAGTATTACTGAGTATTACAAATATGTCTAAAAACATCTGCAGAATGATACACAAACCATATATAATTTTGCATCTGAAAATATATATACATGCACACAAAGAAGCTTAAAATTAGTGTGGGTAGAACTGGCTAGAAGCTGTTCAGAACAGCTTTCTTCCAAGGTCCTTTGCATGTCGGCTCACACAGATGGACAGAATTCAGTGGGGCAGCCCAAGCTTCCTAAGGGCAAATATTGACCAACTGCAGCTTTAATTAGCGGAACAGGGAGAAGTTAAGGACGACCCTTAAAAGTTTTTTAATGAGGGAGGCTAAAAAGTCTTGAAACAAAATACTGACCAACAGCTGT